GCTCGGGTGGGATCAGCTCTCGCCGCTGCGAGAAGGAGGGCCTTGGGCGTCGGGGTTGCCGCCCGGTGCTTCCCCCCGGGCGGGGCGGGGGGGCAGGAGGGATCCCGCGTCTCGAGGGAGTGGTGCTTCTGGTTTGTTTAGTTTCGGTTGTGGTTTTGCTGTTGTTGCTGGTTTGGTTTTTTTGTGTAAGGGAAGAGAAGATGTACCAGCCCTTACCAAATTTTCTTTTGATGCAAGGCTAAGTAGATAGCATGTTCTTATTTTACTTATTTTTAGCCCTCCTTCTGTTTCTAGTTCTGCTTTTTTGGAGATTATCATCAATATGTATCACTTTCCTTAAAAATACATTTGATTTGGAAAGGAATAAGTAATGAAAGTGTGGATCAGGACTTAAGACTCATCTTTCATTCTAGCCGTAGCATCTAGGTTGCTCTTGTGTAGTTTTGTTTGCTCCATACCTGTTAACAGATTGGCAGGTGTGATTGAAGATGGAAAGTGAAAATTATGTGAATAGCTACTGAGGAAATTATCTTCTGCTGACCATTATTCTGTCTTTCTTGTAGTTATACAGACAGTCATCCTACCATCTCAGTACGGTTACCTAACGTACAGAATTCATTACTGGAGGTGCCAAGGCTCAAGATCTTGGAGCTAAATTCTAACAACCAGTTGTCAGGACCTTAAAAAGACTTGCCTTTCAGGGTAGATTATTCTAGAAGGTCTGCTGCAATGTCATTTGAAGTAGCTTGCACTGCTGGCCTGACTATGATGCAAATTCCTGTATTTGTAATTTAGATATACATCTCTAACATGAGACAGACGTTCAAAGGGTTGCTTTATAGGAAAGTCATTTTTACAAATAATGTTAGACATAATTTCTACACTTCATCCTGTCGTTTTTCTGTTAGCCAAACTCTCAGCTACTTTCTTTAAAAGCAGCAGAAACTTTGCTCTGTCTTACTAGAGTCTGCCTACCCTCAGGAAGCAGCTGAAGGTTGTGACAAGTATGTAGTATGGGAGGCCATAATGTAACTATACATTTTTCTGATTTTCATAGCTTTTAGTTTCAGCCTTCCAGTGTTCTCATTCTGGGTGTGGGAAGAAGAGGGCATTTCTAAAGCCATGTCTCCCCTAGGAGTGCGTTGCAGGTATAGTATGTGTTGCGCTTTTAGCAGTATGGGTTTCTGTAGCCCCAGCATGTTCTCTGATCACTTACTTTATTTTCTCTGATGACCAACTTTACTCTGGAGAGTGAAACAGACTGTATTAACAAAATTGTAGCTTTGCAGGTTCAGCTGTATTTGTTGTATGGGTTTCACCCAGCTCAGAGTAATTATTTGGGTATTCAGTCCCTGGGATAGCTAAGTTTTTGCAGGATAAATATGGCCTGAGTAACTTTTAATTTTTGGAAAAAAAAAAAGTTGCTTATGAATAACCTTTAGCTTCTAGTTTGTTTTGATTTTTGGGGGTGGAGAACCATGTCTACTACATTATTCAAAGAATAAAATGTAGATAGAAAACTAATTTGAGATATTTCTATTCTGAAAGTCTCCAGTTAGCTCACTGGCAGTGTAAAAAGAGATACACAACTATCCAACGTGACTCAGAGGGGCACTGATTTAATTACATATAACAACATTATACTTTTTATCTGCTGTTTTATCTTGGTTACCCAGATTGCTGAACAGGTTGCTGTAGAATTGGGCATTACATTTTTAGCAGATCAGGAAATCACATTGCTATTTCCCAAGTTTTGTGTATACAGTAAGGAATTATTACCTTGTCTGACAGAATTCATAACTGAGAAACTATTTATGCATTGTGCTCTCCTGGTGAATCTACTGTGTACTTTACTCAGTAATTTTAAATATGAAATGGCTCTGCTTCAGGTAATTCTATAAGATTGGCTGACCTGTACTCTGACTTGCTCAGCCACTGAAGAAAGGAGCTGAATGAAACAGGTGCATTCTGCCCCTTCAACTGCATCCATGTCTTCAGTACCTCTAAAATACCTTTGATTCTTTGATAGCATTCACAGCACTAGTGAAAAATGAAGATTTTTTTTTTAAAAAGTAAAATATCGGTGCTGTATTTCTGCTTCAGTTAATTTCTTCCTATGCCTTAGGGGTTTTTGGCATCTTTTAACTTCCCCTAAAGGACTCAACAGCCGTGCCTTGGTATGATATGGTTCTCTTGTCGTTGATGCAGGGGACTGAAAGATTGGATCATGGAAACTTTCCTGAAACTTAAAAAATCAGCCGAAGGCAGATGGGAAACTTTAGTCCAGAAAATTCTACAGAGTAACTTGTCAGTTGATGCAAAGAGTTGTGCTGATCTTTTCTACTCTGTAATGCATTATTAAACGCTCATAGTTCAGAGAGTTTTGCAGGGAACAAACTGTGGTTTTATTGAACAAGCCTTTGCTAACCTAATTGTGTGATAAACGTGGCAAATGTGAAGCTGGGAGTTGAATAGAATTCTATGAATTGCTTAACAGATACAGCAAACCTTTGATAACCAGATTTCCATAAGGAGAAACGTGACCACCTTTGTTGTTTTATACTGATACTTTCTTCAGATTCAGAGAAAGTCCATTTTTGTTCTTAACTGTTTTGTAGTTCCTCAATGGAAAAGGTGTTAAAAACTGTCTGCAGCACTATGGAAACGTGGAGACACAATAGTCATCTATTGAGACCCTCAAGGAACTATTGGGCAAAGTGATGGAAATGAAGAGCTTGAAACATCACTTCAGCATGGCGGCAGCTGAATCTGACAAGGACTCTGGATATTCAGGTTTAGAAAACCACTATTTTACTTCTTTTTTCTGTGTTATCTTGCTCAGACTTTGCTTTTATTGGGGATGTTTAACAAATCTGACTCTAGCCCCTTACATTTTATGTCTCATTACCTGTGAGGGCCTTTGTATGCAAGATAGGTTGCAGCTGTAATCATCCTACCATTAAACTTTTTTGGAGTGGAGCTTTATGTAGTTATAAACCTCATCCTGTGAATTTGAATGGCATGAGAATTTAAAATAAAGAAATGAATGGAAGAACCTTAGACTTCAGAGTCTAGAAGTGGGGATGGCAGAATTACTTTTTGTTCTTTGCAGTGGTGAATGAACTATTGGATTATGCCCTCTAATGTCTCTCAGGATTTGTCCAGATTGTCAGTAGAGCCTGATAAACCAGACAATAATTGTTACATCAGTAAAATGTAGACATGGTGTGTCATTTTAACACTCAGTAAAACTGTGCAAAGATGGCCTTTAAAAGAAAAAATAATGCTTTTGTGAGAGAGATCTGCCTTATTGAGTCTGTAGATAGAAGATTTTAAGACACAAAATGCCTGCAGCACAGATTACAGCTGTGGCAGAGCTGGACCCCATAGTTCTTTCCTGTACCAGGTTTTAGAGCAGTCTTCATGATAGTGTGTAGTCCCTTGGAAACTAAATATGAAAGAACAAAAAGTAATAGATTTTTTGGGAGACAATATCTGCATGAGAACTGGTCTGAAATATAAAGCCTTTTATTAAAGGCTATTTGACAGCTGTCACAGCAAGTCTAATTTTATTGGTATTCCAGAACTAAACTTTATTGTTCTTGTGGCTTGGTTGAAAGGAAGTAGAATAGTAGAACTGAAAGGATGTAGCAAGTATGCTGCATGTGAAACAACTAACAGCTGAATTCTACATCTGGCAGATGGAAGTTCAGAGTGCCTTAGTGCTATGGAGCAGACTGACTCAGAGGATGTGCTGAATGCATTGTGTTGGAATACAGAGGATGGACCTTGGCAATGCCCAGTGACCACAAACAACTCCTTTCCCTCACTTTCTCCTATGGTTGTAATGAAAAATGTGTTAGTTAAGCAGGTAGGGAAGAAATAATATGTTGAAAAATATTGTGTGCTCTTAATTTTTTTTTTTAATATTTTTCTTTTCAGAAAGATTTTACAAAGTTGTTGCAGTCCAGAAGTAGCTGGTAACTTGAAAAGTTCTATTGTGATAGCCTGCTCTTTTGAGAGGGAGCTAGAATCACTAAGATGGAAAAAATGTGAAATGAAGAAGCTCTGCTACATCTACTAAACCTCTTTGTCTCAAAGGATCCCCAAAAAATAGATCTTTAAGAATTATGTGAATAGCATCAAAGATCAAACCAAAAACAGTGAGCATTTTTCCTTTTGAAAGCTGATGCTTTCTTTTTCATTAAATACAGTAAAGTAGGATGATAGGTTTTGCTTCCTAGTTCTTAGGTCCTATAAGTGCATTATGTGCAATAGGCAACACTAATCCAGAATGTTATAAATGAAGAAATTAAATCTGTATCTGAAGTTAGCTGTGTAATAGTTGTTTCTCTTAATTGTATGTGATGGCTTACATTGCAACAATTACATTCCCTATTTATGTCCTCCAGTATCTTGTTATGTGTTGTTCCTCCAGCACATCTGTGAGATTCCTAACTTAAACATTGTAACAGAAGATACACAAACTCCAAATTCAAAGTATTGCCATATTATTAGACCTTTTGCTCTGTACTCACTCATGTTTTCTGAGCAGAGCAAAAGTTCTTCAGTGGTTTTTATTAGAATATTTCTGACAATACAGGGAGAAAAAAATAATACAGATCCTGATCCTTTTTCTGCTGAATCTGTTATGACAACAAGTAAAAAGTATTAAATTCAAATACTGTATGTCAATGCTAACACAGATACGGGTTTCTGTTAGCACTTGGCAGATTATGCATTTGTGGGGGAGGTGGTTCTGATCTCTGAGCATTGTGCTTTATCTTGACAAGAAAAAAAAAAAATTTATAGTCATGTTCCTAGATGTGTGGACAAAATACCATCTAAACAAATGCTGAAGTTTTCATATAATAGGGAGTAGGTAAACTTCACCAAAGGTTGATAGCCTTTGGCCCAGAGCTCAAAAATTAAACACTGATTGCAGTGGTAGTCTGTTAAACTCCAGGTTGTGTTGCAAACTGTTAAGAGGTAGCAGCTAATAATAAGTAGCTTTTATATATAATATATATATGTGTGTGTGTGTATATATCTTTATAAAAAAACCCAAATCTGATAGTATAGCAAGAAGGGAATTTGGGGAAGAAGAGTTGGAGGTAGATAAAATTACCAGACTTGGTTCTCTTGAGCAGTGCATCATAACATGTATGTCTAATTATGTATGGTTAAGGACAATAACGTTAAATTGAAAAATGTTTACTGCAATAAACAGAAGCAACAAGTCTAGGTCATAATAATAATAAAGTGTCTTTCTGCTTCTTTCCATTTTGCCTAGTTACCTCAGTCATGCTTGTCATCTTTTTAAAATGGTCTTTTCAACACAGTGCTCAGTTAGGCTCGCTGGACCAAAAGGAAAAAAAAAAAAGCAGCATCCAGTTACTGCTGTTTATTTGTTCCAGTTTCAATTTCAATCAGCATCATCCTTCTGTTTTAGAACCACTGTGATCCTGCGGAGTGATGGTTACCTGCTGTCCCAATTTCAGAGTGTAAACAGCTAACAGTAATGTTACTTAAAAAAAAAAAAAAAAGCAGGGATTAATTCCCTGAGACAGTGTTGCTTGTAAGTGTTGTAAAAGTCCTTAATAAGTAGGAAGGCTTTTTAGACAAGTGGCACTGATACACGCAGGATGTTAGCTTTCATTTGAAAACCCCTAAAAAACCAAAAACCCAAACAACAAAACCACTTTGCAGCATTAGCAAAATAAACATGTCCTTCTATACTAAAAATGAGTTTTTTGGGTAGGAGAACAAAAGCAGAATGCAATGTGAGTGGAAAGGAGAAGAAAGTAAATATCGGAGATAGGAAAAAAACCAAGAACAAGATAAACAGTTACCACAGCTCTTTTGGCCTCAATAATTTTGGGGCTCTGCTGTGCTAGATACTGTGCAATTGTGCAGTAAATGACAACTTATAAGCCCAAAACCTTACTCCTTAAGGCTGCATGTTCTGTCCTGTGTATATATAGCCATAATATGTATATACTTCCTCACTCTTATCCTCTCCAAACACTTTTCTTTTGAATGTGTTTGTTCTTTCTTCTGTGATAAGGTAGTAATATTTATTTTTTTACAGGTAGTTGTTCTGTACCCCTACTCCGTAAGCATCTTGTCCACTGAACCAAAGAAGTTCTGTGTGAGAGTAGATAATTGAATCTCATCTCCGAGTCTCTGTCCTAATCAGTGGGTAATACCTGCTTTTGACAAGTTCAGGTCCTGTACTGGGGGAATGGACTTCAGCAAAGTGTGTTAGCATTTGCCGGTTTAAATCTTATGAGACTAGAGGAAAGGAGATGGATTTCAGATGACTCAGTATAGTACCAAAAATAGTAAAATGTATTTGCACTAGCTAAAAACTGTGCCTTCAGCAGGCCTGCCAGTAGCGTTCCAAGTCGTAAGGAATTGGAAAAGCTTCTGACAGTATATTATATTAGTATAATTGTAGTGGTGATGACTGAAATATATTAAGAAGTGAGATTTTGCTTCAGGAAGAAATACTATCTCTTACTAGTCCATTTGATGTTTTTGGAGAAAAGTGGGCATGCTTTTTGGCCAGGAGATCTCATGAAGATTCGTAGTAATGTATTGCAGGAGAAAGAGGTAATGTCTTGTAAAAATTGATGTATTCCCCTATATTGCAGAAAATGGCTTGTGGGAGGGAGTAAAAACTTGGTCATTTTTCTTGAAATAAAATGCTTTTAAGGTTTATTTGTGTGCACTATTTCACCAGAGATAGGGAGTTAAACTGCTCTGGGCTTACAACAAGCTTTTTTCCTTGCATTGGTTTATATTCAGCTTTTTTTTCCCCTACTTCATGGTTTTAAATTTATTGAAACTGTGTATTGTACTTAAGATTGCAAGACTTACTGAACAGCTGTCGTCTATTTTAAATAACCATTTCAAAAGCTTGCTATAAGAATAGAATTGACAAGATTAGAGTTGCTGCCTTTCAACAAAGGAGTCTGAATTGTTCCTAAAATGTCTGTGCAGTCTCTTTCAGACCCTTTTAAAATATTTCATAAGCACAGTGCTTAATTATTTTTCAACTTTTCTGTACACTTGTTCAACCCTAAGTCTGGGTCGAACTTTTAGGTGAATGTTGCACAATATAAGCATGCTTTGTAATCCTCATTTAGGAAAGCATGTATAAATTCAGATTGAATTGTTTTTAAATGTATTTGCTGTTCCATATGAAAAGGATTATGGATTACAGCTTTGGTTCTGGTGCTATGATCTGTTGTCAAAGAAGGAAAAGGATGAGTTTGATGGAAAACTGTTCAGAACGTATTAATTGGACAATGTATATCAAATACGAAGAAACGGCACAGCCCACCTATTTCATTTAAAGTTTTTTGATCCTCTTCTACAGTGCTATTGTAAGACTTCTGTTTTTTCCCTGTTTGTGCTTCTCAGGGGAGTTCATCATCACAGCTCCAATCTTGGACTGTGCAGCCATCCTTTGAGGTGATTCCAGCTCAGCCACAGCTAGTGTTTCTTCGTCCCTCAATCCCACCTCCCATTAACCCTCACCCTGTTGGGAAAAAGAGAAATGACTCCACTAATTACCTGCCCATCCTGAATTCTTATCCCAAAATAGCACCACAGCCCTGCAAAAGAGATCACTCCTTTGATGTAGAAGAACATCAGGAAACCAATTGCCATAAACGACTCTGCACAGAAGCACCCAAGATGGAGACTTCTCCTGTATCGAGGAGCACAGGCTTGTCTACTAGTCCTTTTGTGCACCTACCAGTTAGCTTTAAGACCCTTCAAGATTCTAACCAGCAAGGTTCTTCAACTCTAGTGACAAGTGGAAAACTGTCAGCTCTTCCTGGTTTTCATCGTGTTTCCAGTGACAGTCAGAAAATGCCGGGTTTGACTCCTCTTTTGCCTTTTGGAGCTCTGCAGGCTACAAAGTGCACCCCTCATGAGAGCGAGAGTGCAGCACAGACTACGATGCAGTCTGCAGTGTGGAGCCCCCCATTGATACCAGAAGAGATTTGCACTACCCCTGAGCTGCTCTTGCAACAACAAAGCAAGTGCAGACGCTTTCAGAACACACTCGTTGTGCTACGCAGGTCAGGATTGCTGGAGATCACTTTAAAAACCAAGGAGCTCATTCATCAGAACCAGGTGACTCAGGCCGAGCTGGACCGGCTGAAGCACCAAACACAGCTTTTCATAGAGGCAATAAAGAACAATGCTCCACAGTCGTGGGCAGAGCTAGAAGCATCTCTAACAGGATCTGATAAAGCTGATAGCAACCTTGAAGATCCCACTTATCCCAACATGTAGTAAAAAGATATATAGCTGTTGGTCAAGTTATTTCTGTGCCTCCTGTTTCCTGTCTCAAGCTTTTACTTGAGCATTTTCTGAGTCCCAAGACTTGTGAAGTGGCATGCCATTAACAGCTTGTCTTCAGAGCCAGTTGTGGGACTGAAATAGCACGGTAGGGTCTTGACAGAATGGGTACTTACTACTTCAGTGTGACCTTGATCTCCATGTGCACTCTATGTACTTCCTTGGACTTGAGAAGCTTGGATGCGCTCTGCTGGCATGTTCCCATTCTTGCAGTGAAAAGACAGTCATTTGCAGTATTCTGCAAGCAAGCAAGCATCTTCCTGTTCCTGTGTTCAGATAGTCAGTTCTGAGAATGGAACAGCAGAACAGGCCCCAGTATTGGGCCATCATCAGGTGCAAGTAGATAAAGGGAGTTGGTGTGAGAAGAGGAAACTCATGTTGGTGGGGTGATATCTTCAGGCTGTCGCTGTCCTTTGTTGTAACAGAGTCTTGCTTTGGGGTTTTAATGCGTTTGAGTCAGCTTGTGCTGAAGCAGTATTCTATATTCATTTCAGTCTTTGGTCAGAGATGAGTGTCTTAAGACCCAAATGAAATGATGTGTTTTGATGAGTGTACTTTTTTGATTTTGATCTGTCCAGTCGAGTGAGTGAAAATCCCAAGGGTTGCACTGGGAGTGTTGTTCCAAAGCTGTATTTATTAATGGCTAACAAGTGTACAAGGCAAGTGGCTTTGGATTTTTTTGATAGCTAACAGATTAAACACTGTTATTAAAGACTGCAGTGACTTTTTTTAAACAGTACAAGAAAGATATTCATTCACCAGGATTAATTTGGCAAGACTAGTTGCATATTATTTGTTACGTGTATCTTTAGTTTACAAGAGAGATCTCAGCTTGGGTAATCTCCCTAAAAATTTTATCTACCTGAGTTTGAATGTAAAAAACCAAAAAAACCCCACAAACCAACCCCAAGATGTTTTACCTCCACATAAATTTATATCATTCCTAGCCTGCTTGCCTTGAGATACAGGTAACACCAGTGTGTGCATAAGGTATTAGGCCGTACTAGTAGAGATCCACAGTAGTCATGTTACAAAAGTTGTTCTACAGACATTTATTTCATTTCAGTTTAGACACTTAACTATGTCACTCTCTCCAGTCTGAAGGGGTTGGTTTTTTTTCAGAAGCAGTCTCTGTAGAGAACTAAGAATGGCTTTGTCTAAGAAAGCTAAGGAATCTGGATTGTTTACGATGTGTTCCTTTCTGTGTGACACTGTTTTCAAAAAATTGTGCAGTCTAGGTGACCAGTTATCTTCATGCTTTGATCACTTCTATCAATTGTTTCAGATTCTTAAAAAAAAGAAGCTTGAAAATAGAGTGGATGTCTTGCTAATTTGTGACTAGACCTTTCAATTTTCTGATGCCTCTGGGAACCTGTTGCAGAAGACTGTAGAGAATGCTGCTGTAGTCTACTTCAAATATATGCATTAGAGAAATTGTAAGGGGCTTCTCCCTTGTAAGGGTTTCCCGTCTTTTGACACGGATGAAGTGCCGTACATGCCTCACAAAGAGGAGAAATGTGAGTCATATTTGTACTAGCCATAGGCCTGGAGAGAAATTTTGTGGCAGGATTCACCTTAGCGGAACTGTAGCAAACTAGTAGCCATGCCTTTCACGGTATCCTGCCTGCTTGCAGAAGACTAGTGCAGTACGTAGGAATTGATTAAAAGAAAGGTGTTCATAGACTGTGTTCTGTCATGTATTTTTAAATATACCTGCTATTATTGTGCATACGAGGATGTCTCATAACTCGCAGCACAGCAATATCGAAACTCAGCCAGCAAACCCAGAAGGCAGGAAGGCAGCATAGTATGGTGTAGTAATGTAGGACATGTCTGATCTAGGTCTTAGTGGAATCAGTTGTGATATCTGCCCAGAATGACATTTGGCAGGATAGATGAGATGGCACCTTTGGCCATTTGTGAAAGAATCCCAGAAGAGAAGCCTGTTTCTTCTGAGCTTCTTACAGGAAGGAGAAGAGGCAGTTCCATTGATTGGATACCTGCAATAGGTCTAGAAGTGAGGGGTGAGAAAATGCATAGGATGTCTTTCTCTTCATAAAATTCTTATTTTACCCATCTAATAGGAGAATTTGAAGTTCAGAATATACATATTTTTAGGAAGTGATTGTCCTAGAAAATAAGATGGTGGGCTCAGACTACTCAGAGATGAAAGGAAGTCAGAAAAAAAGAAGTCCAATTCTAGCTGTTTTGAGACAAGAAAAAGTGAGTCTACTGGTGACTTCTTCTCCACCGTATTTCCACTGCTCTGATAGAGTGAAAGGAAGGAAAAAAATTGGCCTTGCAGGGTAATATCGCCTGACTTAGGGAGACTCTAGCTGATAGAAATCTCTCATAACAATACCACATGTATTTTTTTCCCCTGATGGCACTGAGGGTGGGCTGAAGTGGGTGTGCTTATAGCTGATAGGCCTTTCAGCTGGTGTAATTTGTATAAATATATATTCAGTAAATCTGTGAGTGAAGTCCAGCAGCTGGTTAGAAATCTACTGGGCATCAGTCCAGACTTAAATAGTATTTGCTGAACTAGAAAAATCCACTCTGGAACTATTATATATAAATCTGGGGCCCCTTAGGAACCATATCCCTAGATAACTGCAAATTTTGACGCAACATCTATATAAAAGAAAAAGGATGTTGAAGGTCCCTAGTGATAGCTATGTCATCAAGTACCATTCTGTTCAGTTTCTCTTAGCTACCTGTATTCCTGGAAGCCCTGATAAACCTTTAAACAATGAGGGCTTTCCTTTCTTGACTGCAACTTAATAAAATAGGTTAGCTTGGATCTGTGTTGAGAAAATTAGTTGACTGCATCAGGACTAGAATGGGTCCTGACTCTGGGCAAGCTCGGGAAGTGGTCCAGTAGATTTCAGCAGAAACATTAACCTCTCTGATTGGAAACCTGTAAGCAATGAACTTACGGATTTTCTTGACCTTTGAAGTAGCAAGACTTTGTATTAACAAGTTAGCTGAAGACAGCTGTCCCAGTCTAAGAAGTCAATCAGATGGCTTGCTGGGGCTTCGGTTGCTGCTGACAACAGGTAGGTGGGGTAGCTGGATGGGTCAGGCTGCTGTTTTTCTATTAAGTTGTAATAAATGTTGGTATTTTTGATTACTTTGATTATGTATTTTCGAAATTCTACTGCTCTAGTTGGAATGTAAACATTTTCTGTACTTTTGAAGTCCATTGCCAGCTCTGAATACAGTAGCCTAAGAACTCTGTTACAGACCGTGACCTTTTTGCTAAAACTTTACAGAAAGAGACTGTGAAATATGAATGAAATAAAGTATATACTTGAAAAGTTTGTGGACTATTTTAATGCTGTTAAGCTGCAAAGTCTTTGGTTCCAAAGCATGCTTTACATACAGCTCCACAACAGCAGGTTGCCCATGTGGGAAAGTGCAGATCCAAAAGTGATACTATGATGTATCTCTCTGAAGGGAGTCGTGAGCTTTAACAGTATATATGAATTAAAGGGTCTCTAGGAGGAGCCTGAGTAAAAGTGGTCTGTACAGAACTCTAAAAATACATTGTCGTGGGTGACCATTGCCATAGATCTGTCATGAACAACCTGGAAGGATTTTTTATCTCTGAACTGTTATCTCTATGTGATGACTGTACATTATGCTCACCGTCTGTGCAGGGCGAACTCCTACACTGCATCTTAATTCTGTCAGCTGGGTATGCAGAAGTTCTAAACTGTGAAGTAATGATCTTGGCTACTGAAAGAATTACTTGAGTGAAAAATTTTACTCTCACTCTCCTGAAGAAAATTCAACTAAATCTGTATACCGGCTTTTCACGAAAATACTTTTTTCAAAATGTGGTCATCTTTACATGGTCTTTTCAAAGATGACTCTTAGAGAGAGAATGAGGCAGAATGAGGCAGGCATGCCCAGAACATCCTTGTGGCCTGAGATCCTGCCCTAAGGTACAAAAGATTCTGGTTAAAGTTCTTACTTGGCACCAGACAAGGTAATAACTTGAATCTTGTTACTTTGCATCCAAAAAAGGAGTGCTGTCAATTGAAATAATTTTATTCTCTGAGACTGGAAACAATGTTTGCAGATTTTGTATTTGTAAAAGATATGGGTACAATTCAAGCAGGAAATTTTCAGATCTCTGTATCTCTTTGGGCTAGCTGCTTCTTTACATGGTGAAGTCTATCTGCAGGATGTCAGGCCTGTTCACCTTTATTTCACTGAAACCAAAAAGGTGAATTGCTTCGTTTAGGTGCACTGCATCTGTCTTGGTTTTCTCTCTCATGACACAAGAACGGTCTGAAAGGAACAGTACCCCTGCAGGCTTGGGCTGAAGAATGTCTTGGAATGCAAAATTTCTCACATCTGCTAGATTGAACATAGCGTGCTGTTACTGCTTTCATTCTCATGATTCCTGGGACAGAAATGTGGGGTCCCTACCTACGCAATGTTACGCTCTTGCTGTATCTAGGTGATGCTTCCTTTCAGGCCGCTGTGTAATGCAGCCATATACCCCCAACTGTATTGCATGGTCTTGAGTGTCTAAAATGCATGAGACTTCCCTTCCCTTCTTAAATCTGTACCTCCTTTACGGTACGTCCATGAGACAAACTTAACTTCCAGTGTAATCTGATTCAGAAGGAGACGTGATGTGTTCAGTCTGCTCTCTTGCAGGGCACAATTTCCAAGACTTCCTCAAATTCTTGTTTGAAATAAAGCGTGTCTTTAGAGGAACATCCTGCTTTGATTTGAAAGCTCCTAGCGATGAAGCATCCACCCAAATTGTTAAAAATGTAATTACTTAGTGTTTAAAAATGTGCTTTTCATATTGAGCCTGAATTTGTCATCTTTCAGTATCCAGCTGTCAGATCTTTTGCCTTTTGTCTGCTAAAAGGAAGTGCATGCTGTGACATTGCTGTTTTCACTGTAGGCAT